ACGGTACTAAAAAAGTTGCTTACGTATCTTCTAATCCTATAGTGAGTTCATTACAGTTCCATACCACAGCCCTTCAGAAAACCCATCGGTCCTACGAACATCTCCAAGACAATGCCTTCATCCACTCACGCACATCGCCTCATTCCTACTTATAAAACCCCCTCCCCCCCCGGGTTACGCAGCTATCCATGTGGCAATGTATCCCCAGATTGCTTCTCTGCCCTTTGCAAAACTCTTCAGAACACGATTGAAGAATTTTCGAAGGAAGTCCATCATTCTCAGTTCCCGGGACAACGTCAGCACCTTGTCAGGTAACTCGCTGCGCACGGTCGTATTCCTCTCGATTCTGTGCAGTCGACTTGCAATAACTGCACTTTTCTGGCGTTTGCTGCCCCATGAGTGGTACTCCTGCCCAATTTTGAAATCCAATCTATCTTCCGTCCACACAGTCATTTCGTTCTTCGATAGCTGTACACACGAGAGAAACGGCATCACTTCTTGTTGTCTCATTTCCAACCCAAGGAAATCCCAGCTCCTTTTGCCATCGTCGGTGCGTTTCAATGTCAAATCACTCGGGTAGCTTTTCTCAAAATCTGCACGAATCAGCTCGCAACTCCTAACGTCCCTCTTCTGTGTTGCCATGATGATACTCACATCGTCAATCAACCGGATACCGACAATCTTCGACTGCTGTCTTCCTTGTTCACAGAGGAACTTGTACTCGGCGTGTGCGCACAAGATGCATGCAAGTGGTGGGCTGGTGCTTTTCCCCATGGGGATGCCAACCACCTGTCGCAAGAGCACACCAGTCGCATTGGTGTATGTGTGTCGAAGATCAAAACCAACAAAACGCCTCAGGTCTTCCAGATCGATCTTCCGCCAATGATCGACTCATGTGGTGCGTCCAAAAGAACTCCCGCTTCCTCTCGCGTTCACGCGTACTGACGTCTTCCCACTCCCTTGAAAATGATTGACTATCCAGTCAACGGCCTCCATGATATCAGCGTGCGGCAGTTTACTGAACATATCCTTGATGTCATAAGACATCGTGGATATCTGCCAATCACTTTTGGGAAGTCGTTGGATCTTCTTATTAATCCTCTCGATTCTCGGTACCAGGTCCGTTACTGATTTCAGATTAAAGTGCCATTTCGCCGGTAGTGAGTAGAGCAGGTGATTCAACGCCTTGGCTGCCGCTCTCGAAGTTTTCACTGTCGGCTCGCAGTAGGAAGGACAAATAGGTCGATATCTGTCAAGGTCCTTGTGCTTTGGTTGCACGTACGCACGACCGAATGTTCCTTTCTTGTCAATCCTCACGAACTGCTTCAAACCAATCTCTGTCGCATCATTCCCCATCCTCTCGACAATCGCCGATTCGCTTGTTTCCATGATCTTGTATTCAGAAATGCATACAAAGGTAGATAACATCGCTTCATGGTACAGCGCCGGGCATATCACGAGCGTCTCACCCGGATTCCTATCCAGTGGGGTGAGTACCAAACCAGTCAATTTGCTTTTCAGCGCATTGACCGTTCCTAACTCCAGATACTTCTCCCGTTGCCCCGTTGTTCCGATCATGCATTTCCTGACGTCTTCGACCGTCGTCTCCCTCTCCTTCGTCCTTCGATTCGGCCACCTGTTGAATGCGTCCTCAATCTCACGTCTCAACAGCGCTCCTGATCCGGATGTGATGACCGTGGGATGTTCTTCACATTACACAACATTGGGTGTATGCCCTCCATATCACGCAGTCTGAATCGCACATGATCTCCCATCCTAGGATAGGGTAACCCTGCACAAGTGCAGGTACAGACGTCCGCACACACGTAAGTCCGTTGATTGTGTAGCAAATCAGCGACCGATGGATTACTTGTCCATACGATCCTCGCTTTGCTACGTGCTCTCTTCATCATGCATGATGGTAGTCCAAGCTCCCCGATCTTGTCGTTAACAACTTTCCGAACCTCCACCAACTTCACTCGGTCGTCAAACTTCAGTTTGACATTGATATTCGCACTCATGATCCAACCCGACGCTTCTTTAATTGTACGTCTGATTGTCCTTCGTAAGTATGATCATGTCGCCTTCTTTTGAAAATCTTTCGCAGCTCGATACAAATGGAACAGCTCCTCTGATTCCCGATGCTTCAACTCACCTAATCGCCTTGGATCTCTCAGTCCTTTAATTAGATCTTGCTTGTACTTCTTGGCCCTACTATGCCATCGTCGCAGTTACCGTACTGACACGCACTGGCCCATCTCCAAACTCTGCTTACATTTCGCCAAAGTCGTTGTCCCACTGTCACATGTGACGGTAGTCGAACCAAACGCCTTCCGTATTTTCTTCCATCCGTCTAGCCAGCAATTGCCACCTGTGGAAATCATTTTAAAGTTACGTACACCTCGTTTCTCCAGGTCCGCGAGTGTGTTGACGATGTCAAATTTCTCCTCGGTGAGCCCAACACATATGATTCCCACGGGCTTAACAACTCCCCCTTTCTGCAACTCGTCACCTTCCATCCGTAGCCTTTCCCACTCGCGTTTCCCCTTCCGCTTCGTATTGCGTCGCTTCCTCTTCCGACGCACTCCATTGGTGTTCAACGAAGGATTACAATGATGTATATACACTTGTTCATAAGCGAGTAATTGCTCATCGGAGCAGGTCACCAACGGCAATAACACGTAAGACTCCCATCCAAAGTTACGCCACCAGCGGTATAGGTGAGTGTCCTTGCTCCTTCGATCACAACGTGACGTGTGTTCGCGCCATCGCGCGTTCACCTGCCGGCTCGTTTGTCCCACGTATTGCGCCTTGCAAAGCGGCGAGGCTAGTATATATACCACGTGAGTACCCTCAATGAAATTAATGCCCACTTTGGCGTACATACGTACCCATGAGTCGACGCATTTCGACAACCATCTGATATCACCTGCCAATGTAAGTAGCATAATCGTCAGACGGTATAACTTCTCCACAAGCGCTTCAGACTTCCTTTCACGACGATAGTCAATTAGCCAATTGCATAAGATCCGCATGCGGCTAGTGTCTTCAAAGATTCATGCTTCAGTCCCATCACCTTCAGGTCCGTCGGCGCTTTCCTGCTCGATCCCCTCCTTCTCATTTTCACTGCTGCAAATCTCCTCCTCCTCGCTCCCGTAAGCCACAATTGCTCGTTTCTTTGTGATGTTCATAGCTGCAATAGTCTTCCTCTCGTACACAACGTCCTCCTTCCTACAGATGTCCTTGAGTTCATCAGCGCCCAAATCGGCTAGAGCGCGGATGTTATCGCAGATGAATTGTGCTCTTCCCACCGCTCCCGTCATGGCAGCGATCTTCGTACGTGGAGTCCACCTTCGTGGTGTAAAGCGTGGCGGAGTCTTCATCTCCTTCGACTTGTCAGTCGTGCATTGTAGTTTAGTTGCTAGTCGCACAGGCTTAACTCTCGTTGTCCTAGGTGTCCTCTTTGCCGATTGCATCATCGGTGGGCTGCTCCCCACTGCTTTTTCCCCGCTTCTTTTTCGCTTCTCCTTCCCCGTCGTCTTCCTGGTTCGTCGCCTAGTCAACTCCTCGTCACTCGTATCGTTACCACTTGTCGAAGACCTTCTTGGTGATGAAGGCAATGCTACCTTCTTCTTCCCTTTACGATCGATAGTTGCTGTTGCTAGTGCTCGTAGCATATCGTCCGTTAGTTGTTCGCAGAATCCTCCCGAAATCTGTTCGCGCAGCTCACTAGCGACTAAAGCAGCTTCCATCCTCATTTCCTTTCTCATCTGCATCTTCAATTCCTCGGTCTCTTTGACCTTGGCGTTCTTCCGCGCCATCTTCTTCTCTTGTGCTTCTCGCTCCGCAATGTCTCGCCGTTGTTTCTCCAACTTTTCTTGCTTGCGTTTCTCCCTCTCGAGCTTCTTCTGTTTCTCCTGCTCAATGTGCCCGTGCATGGATGCCAACGAAGCACCCAACTCTTCGATCTGCTTCTTCAGCTTCAAACGCTCTGGCGAGGTTTCCCGTGATCCTCCCTGTTGCACTACTCTGCCTTCACCAGGTTGTGAGCCGCCTTCGCCCGTTATTTTCCAACATTGATTACGATAATGGCCAACTTGGCCACATTCAAAACATGTTGGCGGCACGTGTCGTCGGTATTCTCCAGACGTCTCACCACGCTCCCGTTGTGCGTCGTACCTTTCTTCTTGGTAATACTCACGTCCCCCGCCGCGTTGTCCGTCCCTCCAATCTTCTCGTCGTCCATCCCGGCGGTTATCCCTCCGTTCCCGATCGTGATCGCGGTTAGACATCGCGTCAGTTCCGCTTGGTCTTCGCTCTTTGTATCTCCGTTCCACTTGGATAATCTCCTAAAAAAACCGTCCCCTTGACTGCTTCAATTCGTATCTGCTCACCGTAGTGATAACACGGAAGTAAACATGCTCACACAAGCTCGGGCAAACGTATCCAAGCAGGTTCACATGCGCCGTCAGAGGTAATTAGATGTGATGTAGTGACGAGTAACCAACAGCAAACACGTCACGATCCGGTACAAAGACAAACGATGTCGCCAAGTACAAAAAGTACAAAAGTACAAAAAGTACATAGTCAGGCAAAGTTGCCAGGTACAGATGCATTCCAATCAACAACAAATGCATGTGCCGGTGGGTTTGGCTACCCCGACCTATTTCAACCGCCGCCACGCGGTCGTCTTCAGGGGGCTTACCACCTCATCGTCAACCCTCA